AAGTTGTTACACAAATTGCCAATTGCTCAAATCACGAGCAAGACCTTATAAGGGAGGATAAGGCAAGATGCCGTGTTTATTGATTAAGCGCTTAATACACACATACACACACACACACACACACACACACACACCCATTCATACCCCAATTTCTGTTCTGTGCTGGTATACATTACCAGTCTTATCAATACTCAGATCAACTTGGTGGCCAGCCAAGCTGATCATGAGTAGGGAGCTGGGCTCCTGCCATCCATCTCATCAGACGAACTGATGGCATACAGAACAAGACCCAAAATCGATATGTCTCGCCCCATCTTTTATAGCCATGTCAATTCACCCAGTCCTCTGGGCTTTTGCTGTATTATCACTGTGTTCTTCCTTGAAGGTTGATTGCCATTGTTCTGTTGCTGTTCTGTGGTGGATTCTTCCTGTCTTGGTCTTTTATCTGTCTGCATTCTTCAGCCAGTCACCAGCTGATCTTTTCCTTTTCCACAGACACACTCTTACCCATTCTTTCACACATACAGCACACAAAGGTCAAACACTTATGTCAAGCTACAGAGCAATACAAAATGGAGTTTAAGGCAATGCACAACTCAAGAAAATATATAAGGCAATAGGCAAAAATTCTGTGTGTACAACAAAGTTACAATTAGGCTTAAATCAAGGAAATGATAGAAGCTTTTGGTAAATTTTATGTATTCCCAAGGATGGAGTGCCTTCCTTCAGTTGGCCAGGTGTTCAAAGATCTCTGGGGTCCGCGGTCCTTTATGGCAGACATAGCAAGGGCCCACAGCTCTCCTTTTGCTTTCTTTTTTATGGGTGGTCTCCCCTTTTTTTTTTAGTTGCCTTGACAACAGCATGTCTCCTGCCTTTGCTCATCTCCAAATGTGTTCCTGTTGTTCCAGGTTTCTGTTTCTACCCCTCTTTAGGATTTTCTAGTCATTGATGTTTTCCCACTTCTTGTCATCCTTTCTAGGTTGTATATAGTGTTGTTTACAAAGTGCTTGCTCAAGCAGTTCAGTGCTGGTGTAATCTTCTGGTTACCCAAATCACATACAGCATTTTCCGCTTCTGTTGTACAAATTGGTTACAGAGTCCAAAACTGTTTCAATTTTGCCATGCCATCTGTCAGCAATAGCCCAGTGAATAAGGATCCTTGCCAAGTACAAAATCTCCTCGAGTGAGGGGGCCCCAGAAGCTGGGTCTATAGGTCCCTAGCTAGAGGGCTAAAATGTATGGGGGTATAGGCTTCAGCAGTCACACACACAGGATGACCTTAAGCCACCAGGTGGGGAAACAGAACCCCAAACTGTACATTAAAGCCAAAAACTGCAGTCAGGGGGCTATGCTTGCACCACTTAGGCAGTTGAAGGGATTGGTGGCAGTTGCCTACATACACCCCTGCTGCCTGGGGCTGTCTTTAGCTCAAAGACAGTTGTCTTTAGCTTAAGCTGGAACTCACACTGCCTGGACCAGATCAAGACACTGTAACTGCTCTGATCCATCTCCTCTCCATCCAGTCATCAAAGAGACCCCAGGTAAAGGAATCCATAGCCTCAAAAATCACTGGGTGGGTACAGAGCTTTGCAAGGAGAGATACTCTGCTGCTGCTACTGCTCCTGGGGACAAGTTACCCCTGGCATTGTGAAACTTGTGGGATGGAGGAAGCCCTACAGAGAAGGAGGCTAGGTTCTATATTGCTGCTGCTGCTGCTGCTGCTGCTGCTGCTGTGGGAGCCCCTTAGTGAAGCCTACCCCTGACCTTCTGGTAAAGGCAGGGAGGTTGCAAGCTCAGGAGGCAGATGTACTTCTAGTTCTTCTGGCAGGGTGAGGTTGGTCTGAAACCCTATGCTGGGCTGCTGGTGACTATAGGGCTCCCTTTGCTCCCACAGCTACTGCTGAAGGGACCCTGAGGTTTCACACCACAACCAGAAGGACAGGACCCCCTGGAACCAATTTACCCTCATCCCCTTGCACCATCCATTTTCCAGGTATGGCCCTGGGAGCCACTGGGCACTGCTACTCCTCCTGCCCCTGAGGAACATCCTGGGGCTGAGCTCAGGGCCCACCATGGGCAAAGACACTCCCAGACTGCTGCTGAGATCCCTGGGCCTGGTTCTGCTCCTGGAGCTGCAGACAGACCTGTGGAGCTGCTGTATGGGTCTGCAGGGCACAGCATTCTGCTGCTGCATGGGCTCCAGCCCTGGAAGTGACACTCATTGTTTGCCTGGTGGCTGCTCTGCTTGCCTTGGGGCCATGCTTTCACTAATTATCTCAGAGGGTGACCCTGCGGAGCCAGTGCAGAAGCCTGGTCTGGGCCTTGCTATTGTTTGGCAGGCCTTGTGGGGTGGAGAAGTAGGGGGCTTGACCACTGGATTTGATTCCTCCTGCCTTTTTCCTCTCTCTTTTTCTTTCCTCTGCAGTCTCTGGGATACACAGTTTAGTTCTGCTCCACTTTACCCTGTGGGCTTCCCAAGGGGTCTATCTTGTGGCCCTGTGCTCCTGCAGGATGAGTGAATGGAAACCCCTGAGAGCAGGCTAGAGCCCTGAGGAGTCAGTTGTGGGGAACTGTCCTGTGCACGCTCCTCAGCTTTGCTGCCCTCCCAGCACCCAGCCCTTACAAGTGCTTGCTTGGGTGCTGTAGAGTGCCTGGGGCACATTATTGAGAACCTACATGCTCCTGTGATACCAGACTGGCTTCTTCTGCATCATGGATGCATGAGGTCTTCCCCTGGTAAAAGTTGCCATGGCTTGGCTGTCATGGCTTGGGAAGAAACTTGCAAATGAGCAACCATCGCCATAAGGAAATTTGTTGTTCCTTCATTGGCCCTTTCTTTTTGTCTCTCTTTTTCTCAGATTCATGAGACAGTTTCAAGGTCCAGTTAACTGGGAAGGAGTCTTCAAAATCAAATTTTATCCCCAGTGGGAGGGAGGCCTCAGAGAGAAGCTTCCCATGAACAGATGACAGTTATTTCCCTTACAAAAGTGAGAAAAACTCTTCATCATTGCCCCATGTTGAAGTCAGAAGTCTCTGAAGTCAGAGAAAGGTTTCTAAACCATATTTTCTTACCACAGGCATCAAGCTTTATGCATTTGCTATTTCACTGCTTGGTCACAGTATTGTCAAACCTGTTAGGGCTCCCTCCCTTCCCAAGGGGAAGGTGAGTAACCCACAGGTCCCACGCCAAGGTAAAACAACAAGTGTAACTTTTTATTGCAGAAAAAAAACACACACCAAGTTAATACTGTAAGCTTACAAGCCACTAGTGTGTCGGGCTGGAGGAAAGGCACTCCCCACCCTAATAAGTCTCGGGAACCCCACCCTGTGTCCAGGGTGGTGAGACTACCTCCTTTATCGGGTCCTCAGCCTTGTCCTCCCCAAAGCAGTTCTGCTTGGGGCCCAGTTCTTCTGACTTTTATACCGTCCTTCTTGTTAACTATCTCTTCCAGAAGGGGGTTCGCTTCTAACCTTACTGCCTTTCTGGGATCAAAGCCAAGCCATTATCTCATTTTGCAAAGCTGTCATTTCTAAATAAAAAGCTGTTATCTTTAAGTTCTTCGTGGGCCGAGGCTTTCCAGGGCCGTTGGTCGGGCAAGGACAGTTCCCCTTATTTTCATCTCTGCATATTAGCAAACAGCAGCAGATGCATTAGGTCATTATCCCGTGGCTTCTGGGGTCCGCCAAGCCTAACCCCCCCCCCAGGAGTCAGCTTGGCCTCCTCCCAGAAACCTCTTTGGGATGGGCCTCACAAAACCCAAGCATTGAAAAATTATGAGTCATCCTCCTCTAAAGGTCCCTACCAGCCCCTAACAACTATGAAACAATGAAAAATTATGAGCCTGGCTTCAAAATAAAGTGTTTTTTTTTAAATCACTAAAAGCAGGGGCTTATTTTGTCTTATGGTATTTTAATTGGGTATCTTAGTCTTTCCAACTTTCCTGTGCATCCACAAGTGAAAGAAAATTACTAAAAAAAAAAATTAAATAATAAAAAGAGAGCTATTCCCCCATAATCCAGGAACTGAGATTTTATAAAGCAAACAACAAGCACTGAGATTCCTGCTATGCAGTTGTGAAAGAGGGCAATGCTGTAGTCAGCATTCAGCTTGCTGTGAAGAAAGATGGTGGATCACCTTTGGAGGGGGCAGGCGGGGAGGAGGATTAGGGAAGCAGTGCCATGCCTAACAGCACACATCACTCCATCATGTGAGTTCCCTACTGCAAGAATGCAAGATGGTCTTGTGGCCTATTACAACCAACCAGAGAGTTGGAGTGCATGCCATGGGGAATTGGAGACTGCCGAAAGCAGTGGTTCTCAACCGTCTTAGCCTCACGGCACCCTTGGATAGACTTGCGGCACCCTTCAGAAAATGCCAGCTCTACCTGCAGGTTCTACCTGCTCCTTCACACACTTTATTCCCCCTACCCTCCTCCCACTGACCCCCGCAGCTTATATATATAAGCCTAACGTGAGATAGCTCCAGTTCTCAGCCTCTCATACCTGCTTCCTGACCAAGGCAGGATTAGACCCTGTTTGGCTAAAAAAAAGTTTAGAGCTAATTTTTCAGAACCAACTGGTGGGTTTTTGGGGGGGGGCGCGTTTTGCCTGTTTTATTTTGTTTTTGGGAGGTGGGGGAGAAGGGAAGCAGGGAATGGCAGCTGGAGACATCAGGAAGAGTTTTCAGAAAGGGCTGAGCACACCCCTCTGAGAGCAATGCACCGTTAACAGGTCTCCAGAAGGGCAGCTAAGAAATGATGCACTCAAACTCTCTGGTTGCTTGCAATAGGCCACAAGACCATCTTGCGTTCTTGCAGTAGGGATCTCACATGATGGAGTGATGTGTGCTGTAAGAGCATGGATAGACAGACAGACAGATCAACAGCCAGAAAACCCAGTCAGGAAATATACAACTTTTGGTACCTACAACAACAGATCAACCATGATGTTGCATTGAAATCAGATTGCATTGGTCCAAATTTCTACGTCAGTAGACCATCCATTTGTTTCTTTTTTTATTATCAATAAGTATAAAACATAACAGTCATATGTTCTTTTACATTTATTCTCCTTGGTTAAAAAAATTACGAAAAGGCATGTAAGAAAAACAAAAAACATTGTGGAAACTGAACATCCCAACCGTCCCAACTAGCCTTTGAATTCCAGCTCTCTCAGATGGGATTTTGCAGGCAAGATCTAGCATATCACCTCGCTTCACTGCTCAGGAAAGGAGAGTTTGCTAGCGCTCAGAGGAACAGATTAGGGCTGTATTGTTTGACCAGGGACTATTTTCTGTGCTGGTGGGTAAAGAGGCAAACAGCATAGCTGTCGCCAGGTCTGTGGCTGAAAATACAAACTTTCCCTGTTGGAGAGGAAGGTGTAACAGAGACTCCATAAGTACAGTGGCTTATTTAAAATAAGTTTGTTTAAGTGAAACCTGTTCTTTCTCTCTCTCTCAAGGACAGTCTGTAAAGAATGCCTTCTTGGCCCTGCAAGACACATGGGGCAGAGTCACAGCACCATGAAGTTGTGTTTCTAGTCAGTGAGATAACTCTGGATAAATGGCACATCCTGACTCCACAGACAGATGTCAGGCTCCCTTCCAGGACAGGCCACTGATACCATTGACTGCAGTGCAGATTCATTTGTAACAATGTACATGAGAGAAGAAGCAGACCCAGAGTCAGGGCCTTGGAAATGAGTGACTAAAATAAGCAAAAGCCAAGGCACACCCTACACAGTATGGCTTTGAGAGAGGGAACTGGACAATAATCCAATTCACATGTCCTCCAGGGAATGACTACTGCCTGGCAGGGTGTCTACACAGCACAGTGCAGCAAGTCCTGGAAGCAGCCTAGCTCCACATGAACTAATGCACCCTGGTTTGCAGGCAGCTGTTCTGGCTGCACTACACACCTCAATTATCTCTGCAGTGCTGCACAGTAGGCCTGTGTGAGTAGGCAGCTAATCGATCCGGCTTCGGATCCTAACGAAGCCAGTGCTTCGATCCGGACATGCTGCTTCGGATGCCAAAGCATTCAAAGCTTCTCCAGATCCGAAGCATTGTCCGAAGCCTCACACAGCCCTACTGTGCAGGACCATGGAGACAGACCCTGAGTTCCAGATGCAGGGCAGGGCTCACAGTCAAAATGCAGCATTTCTGTGTGTCAGTGAAGCAAATCTCTTCTGCAGGCTCTGGATAATCCTGGCCATGGAATCTGGTTCTTACCATTTCAGGGGTTTTCTGCAGAGGGCACCCATCCCAGCACTCCTGCACTCAGGTTGTCTTTGGGATTTGACCAGATTGCTTTGCACAGGCTGCTAGCTGGGGCAATGAAAAGGGAGCAGCCAAGAAGATAGTTATCCTTGCCAAGATGATTATCAAAGTTTTTAAAGAGTGGTGGCAGCTGGACAGCAGCGTGACCCCTGGCATGGACCCAGCTCTGCTAGCAGAAGGTGACACTGTACCACTTCCCCCAGACAGCAGCATCTCTGTAAGCAATGCAGTGTCTTTCCCATGGGTTTTGCTGGCAAAGATACGTTAGCTATGGACTACACTCCATTTCCAACACAGCTCTGCAGTCAGAGTTTGGTAATGCAGATGAGGGCAGTCACAGTCACAGGATTAAGCTGTCTGGTGCATTTCTACCTGATGATTGAGTGTAGCCCAATCATCAGGGATCCAACAACAGAGAAAACAAAGAGCAGTAGCCTGGGATAGTGTTTCCCAATGCAGACATCATCCTCTCATCCCTCTCTTCCTCCCCTCCACTCCCCAAGTTTTGGAGTTTCATTTCAATATATCAGCCCCTGGTTTCTGTTGTTTGGGGGAGGTTTTGTTCCAGTGTCTTCACAGCTATTCCAGGAGATGTTGTGGGTGGTTCCCTCTACCAGGGATTTGGACTCCTGCAAGGGGATATTCCTGGTGGGGAAAAAGGGATCTGAAATTAATTTCTTTTCTAGAGATTAGCAGCAAAACATTTGTGCATTAGACCCACCCTGGTATCAAGTGGAGAGGGCAGGGACTCTTTCTATGAACTATAGCGATTCATAATATTTCTTTAGGTGGGGCTCAGACCCAGGACAGTGGTCAAAGAAGTTCTGGGACATGCTTCATGATTACATGGGCTCGCTGTTTGGCCTGGTCAGCAATTTTCTGACCAAATGATATCGTGAGAATTCTTAAGTTTCTTTCTCATTGTGGAAGGAAAGCAAATCATAGATGCTCCATCAGACCAAGCATCTCATTTTTAACCAGACTCTGCTCCCCATGCACTAGCAGTGCATTACTGATGAACCACTGAACCTAACAGTTCAGGTATCAGGAAGATTTCAGAAGAGGGTATAGGCCTGATAAGTCCCGCTTGGCCAGAGTAATGTCATGATGGTGTGAGGGGGAGAATACACAAGGACCAACAGACTCTCTTTATGCCTGAAGAAGGGTGTTGTGCCCAAAAGCTTGTGAAGAACAATTTTTCCAACTATTTAATTGGTCTAGTAAAAGATATCACATCTACCCAAAGAACATTGCCTGCCTATGATGGTGTGAGTGCACATGACTTAGTTGAGCAAGTATTGGGTTGCTATACAGGGTTAGCATTTTGTGGGCACTGACTAACTGCAGTGTTAGGTTAACCAAACATGGAAAAGCATACATGACTAACAACCTGTAGCCAGAAGTATAAAAAAGTTGTATAGCTGCAAGGGATCAAATCACTTGAGACTCCACTGAGCAGTTTTGACCATCGTGAGTCCCTGAGTAAGTGGCAGCACCTGACCTGCTGACCTAGCTTCTCTTGACTCCAAGGCTACATAAGCATTATAGTTATTGTTGTAAATAAGTTAATGTTTAAGCATATCCCAATAAAGGTTTTGATGTATGACTAGAATGATCTCAGTGATCATTAATCTCACTCTCCACAGCAGCTAAAATTTAGAGTAAGTAACAAGGGCATATCGACCCCATTCAAAGAGTAACAGGGATGGGGATTTCTAGCTCAGGTGGTAGCAGGGGAGGTCTTAGGCTGACCACAATTTTTTTAGCACAAACAGAAAATAGGAGAAGCATGTGCTATGTAGCAGTGGAAGCTGCAATCCCACGGGAACTACAGGAGGATGGGTCTTTAGAATAAGACCTGGACATTTCCTACTCTGGAGTGTGCCTGATGTAAGCCACACACTGCAGGTGGCCTTATACAGCGGCAGAGAAAAGCCCTGCAATGTTTGTCCCTTGGAGGGACAGTGCAGCTTTTACCCCTATGCTTTTCAGTTAAGCAAACCTCAGCACTTCAGTACAAGGAGGCCTTTTCCAGCTCTATTCAGTCTCTTTTTCTGGGACATTGGGTCACTCTGGGGTTCAGTTTCCCCACCCTCCTTCAGAGATCTACTAACCCAAAAGATGTCAAGCAGGCGGGAATAATTCTCCTTTACCCATGGATCAAACTGCGAGGGCCAATAATCTTCATTTCCATTCTGATTACTGACAAAGACTTTCCAGCAGTAGTTATAATCTGGAGAAATAAAAACAGTCAGTCCTGTGCTGAGGAAGGCATCATTGGTCCTGGCACACACAGAGATCAGCCAGGCTTAGGGGACTAAACCTATCTTATGCTGTGCAGTGGGCTCCTGTCACACACACAGGCAGCATAGCCAGGCCCAGTTGATGGAAGCTGAGAGCCCATGGCATCTGGTGCCCGTGCTCTCCATAGCTTTCCCATCACTCTGCCCCAGGCAGCTCTTGCCAAACCAGTACCCCTAAACTCAGCTCACTTTTTGCCACTGGGACAAGGTGCTCATTTTTTGAGGGGAAGTTGAATATCCTCTACATTTTTGGGAAAACCAGCAGCAGCAGTACAGTATTTTCAGGGAGGGGAGATTTTGCAGCCAGGCTGGATTAACCCTTTAGTGGGTTCTAGGCAAACAAACTTGTGGGCCCCCAGATGAAGATGAAATGTTTATATTACTTTTTTCACTCTATAATTATAATATGTAAAATAAGCACAACTGAGTCCCTTTTTCACTTATGGCCCTAGGCATGTGCCTAGTTCGCCTATGCGTTAATCTGGCCTTGACTGTAGTCAAGCTGACACTGTTGGAAGAGGCCCATGAAGGAGTCTGATCCCCTCTTGGTGTTCCCTGGCATGTTAGGCGCAACAGCTGTGCTGGTCCAGCTTCCCCCAGCATAAGGCACCCCAGTGCATCTTGGCCCTGAGTTTCCACCTCTAGAAAAAAATGGGCACTTCCCCTCATGGTTTATTCAGCCCCTAGCCTCATCATGAGGATGAGAAGGTACCAGCAAGCATGCAGATTTTGGGGGCACACATGTCTGGACCTTAGTCAACAAGAAACCACGAGGCACCATTATGTGAGAGGCACCAGGGGAAGGATAGAAAGTGGAGACCTCAAAGGGAATAGTTCCACCCCCCAGTGCAACACCTCCCCACCAAGTTTGGCAGCCAGTCTGGTACCACTGACCTGCACAGGAAAGTCTCCATGGTCCATTCCACAGCCCCACTGGGACCAGTCAATGTCCCAACTAGAACCAGTGCCCAACCAACAGGGTGTTCCATGGTCCGGCTGCCAGACAGCTCTGGCCTTTCCAGACCCACTAACCCCATCAGCCATTACCTGCGATGTCCATGACTCGGATGATGACTTTTTTGCTCCTCAAGAGCCTGAGACCCTTGCGGTTCTCCTCCTCTGTGTGGTAGTAGAGCTGTGCCACGTAAATTGTTAGTTTCAAATAAGGGTATTTCTTTAGGAACTTCACAATTTTTGAGGCGCAGTCTGCACAAGGACTCCAGGACAGGTACCAAGTGACAGAGCAACGAACAGGATGCTTCATTGCTTTAAAGATGTTGTTCATGAAGTAGTCTTCAGCATGGATATCCGTACGCTGATTTTGGCACCAATGTAGCCAGGGTTTGCCATACTTCCCCCACTTTATCTCACAGAGCAGGTGTGCCTCCTTTGTCCCGTCAATTGGTTTATAATTTTTTTCAAATGTGTCTCTTGAAATATACTGCCTGGAAGTGGAGGGAGATTGCAGGAGTCACTGACTGCAGCTTCACCATGAGCAGCTCTTCAGTCACAATCAGGACATAATGAGAGGGATAGGGAAGGAGAGGAAAATACATGGAAAGATAGAGGGAGATGCTGACAGAGCGAGGGGGCAGTGGGATCAATGGTTACAGAGAATAATAAAAGCTAGAGCTGCCCTCATAGAAATGAAAGGGAAGTGAAACCTGAACTGTAACCCAGCATCCATCCTGGTTGCAAGCTGGTATGGAGCAGGTGGAAGCTGCAGCTTTCTAATTCACCCCAAGCTGGTTTAGCACTATTGCTTTCTTTATCACAAGCCCTGGCATGTCCCCACAGACCCCTTGTGACTTTGTTTCACCCCTTTCTGCCATGTTTAGGGACTGAGCTCTCAGGTTTGCACGCATGTCATTTTGATACTTTGAGCACTTTTGAAAAGGAGAAAACCACTGATATGTAGTTGATTAAGTTTTTCCTGGGGTGCCCTACAGTGTTAGCACCATTAGGCATATGAACGGTTCCACATGATTCATAAGATAAATTCAGTGATTTCAAATAGGAATCCATTATGTCAAAAACATTCTGACTTGTGGTCTCGCTGAGTTCTTTGCAATGGAAGAATTGCTCTAGTATTTTTCCATAGGCAAAATAACAAGTGAAAATTAAGAGCTGGCATTTTCCTAAGGGAGCTTTGCATCTGAAAAGACTGAAAACCACTAAAATGAATGAATGAATGAATGAATGAATCAACAAACAAACAAACAGCAATTTTCAAGCTCTCCTCATTTGCAAAGGGGCTTCTACAGTTGGTGCCATTCCAAGTGCAGACTGGAGTAGAGGCATAACAAGATCCTTTAATGCCCAGAGCAGGGTGGAGGAGGTGGGGAGAGGGAGGAGGAGTGGAGTCTTACCTGCCCTGGCTCTCTGCATTGTGAAGGAAGCTGCTACTGCTATAGCTGCTGCTGTAGCAAAATGGGCTCAGGCTGCAGCAGCCTCACATTGGGAGCCCACACAGATGCCCTGTTTGCTCTCCTCCAATACATACAGTTATGCTATTGGCAAAGGGCAGTGCCTGCTGTAGCAGACTCCCTGAGAAGGGTGCCATTCCACCTGCCCCTTGCTCCCTAGATATACAGCTAGATATGAAGCTGCACCTGCCTGGCTCATCTGCCCAGGCAGGATGGAGCTGCACCTGTTGTGGCCCAAATATACTGCTCATATTTGCTGCCAGGTGCCCCACTTGCCCTCCCCAGCAGTTATGCTGCTGTCCTGAAAGACAGAGCAGGAGGGAAGTGCTGTACTGATCACCAGGTCTTTTCCAGGAGAAATGTTTGATGCAGACATTCCCTTCTCAGTATTGTCTATGAAATTGCACAGAGGCTGCAAAGCACCAGGGATGGAAGAATAAAGGAGAGTGTTAATGTGTGTGTAAAATTGTGCGCAGTGGAGATGTGCCCTTGCATACTCTCCCTCAAGCCTACTGAAAAAGTGTGGCATAAAAGGGAGAAGAAGTTAACAACCCTTCAGGCAGGAAATAGTGCCAGACAGCCCCACAGGGCACTGCATGAGGACAGCTTGGCAAGTGGGGCATGAGCTCTGAGTGCTACCTAAGGGGAGAGGGGTGCTAGAGTGGATTAGAGGGCATGTCACCCTCCCATCCTTTCTTCTTCCTGCACTTTCCCTGCACTTTCCAGCTCCAGCCCCAGTAGCAATGGCAGCATTGCTCCTGTATCCTGCCCTGGAGCCTCTGGAGCTAGACATGGTGCAAGGAGAGAGGGGAGGGGAACTGTCTCAGGTGCAGTGCTGGCCAGTTAGGCCTCTGCACAGGGCTCCTTTGGGAAAATATTGAGTGACCCCAGGCTTGAGGCCCACCCAGGAACCTAGGAAAAGGGATTACTTCACCTGGGTTCCCTTCATGAGCAGCTTTTCCACACTCACAAGCAATAAGTCCAAGGCTTTAAGGCAAAGAGAAATGTATTGAGCAGGAAAGGGGGACATGGCAAACATTTTTGGGAAAGCCATTAATGATCAACTTCATAATTAGGAGAGACCCTCACTTCTCCTCCAGGGTGTCTTAGCAATAAACCCCAGCTCTCCTCTCATGATGGCGTGGTCATTGAGGTATCAAGCCACATCCTTCCTACCCTTCTCTCTCTTTCTAATTTTTATTGTTCCTTTTAATCCAGCACAAAAATCAGAAATACATATACATGTCAACCTGAACTATGTATGTGTCTGTCTCAAACAATAAGTAATAAAGCACTCTGCTTGTAGTCATATCTCTAATGCCGGTGGCTTTGGAGAGAGCTCAGTAGCATGCAGAGTCCATGTCACAACGGCAGTGCCCTTGCAGGGGCTCCCTCTTCTCTCTATCTACTCCAGCGGTGGCCAAAACAAGGCACGTGTGCTGCAAGTGACACAGGTAACCTATGTGTGCTGCACCTGGTGGACTGAGAAGGGGAAAAGCAGCACAAAGGCAGATAGGACAGGGAGCAGAAAACAGAGAAGCTCTTTGAGCAGGGGAAGGGGACTGGAGTAACAGTGGGGGAGAGTGTGGGGCTACTTTATAGCACATCTGTCAAAAAGTTTGGCCCCCCACTGGTCTACTCTGTGCCTGACTCAGCACTGCTTTCCCCTGCCACTCCAAAGTGTCCTTGCCATACATCTTGCATGCCAGGGACACTTGTTACAGTCGTGATGTCTACTTCTAGTTTACAGTCCCTTTCTCTCTCCCTAACATTTTGTAGCCTTTGTGCAATTGTATAATAGGCTTCCTTTAGAAACATAAAATGCATAAATATATATTCCTTCTAAAAATCTGTGATTTTATACACACATACAAATAATAAAAATACATGCAGACATGAACATATATTGGGTGCTTCCTGATGTTGCTGTTTTTCAGACTTTATCCAGTTATCTGACAGACAACATTTACAACTGAATTAACTTCATTTCATTTACACTAACCCAGCAGCTGCATGAAAACAATTCTCAAAAAATGCATATATATATATATATATATATATATTGATATACATCTCAATCAGTGATTCTCAACTGGTATTCCCCAAGATCTTTTGACTAGTGCCACAAGCAGTTATGAGAAGATTGGGGCAGGCTCGGGCTTGTCCCTGCCTGGCTGCTGCCCAGCCCCCACTGCTAGGTCCTTTTGCAAGCAAGCGCTGTAATGCATTAATTTTTGAAATGGGGTGCCATTCAATTCACAAAAGATATGGAGCAGTACCTCAACTCAAACAGGGTGTGTCTGGAGTCTGAAAAAGCTTGAAAACCATTGATAATATGAAAGCTTCTCTTTTACTCCTTCATCACTAGTGCTTTGCAATGTTTGTCAAGGGTTTACTACACTTTCTTTAAAAGGAACATTCTGCACAAAAATATTTGTTCTTCATATTTTACGTTATGCATTACTTTTCTCTATCATCCATGCTGCATTTGGAGCTGAAGAGAGCAGAAAATGTGGTATCAAGCATTATATTTCAAGGAAAGGAAAAGAGAGATAAAATCTTGCCCCAAATGGCATGCATGTACATAAAACAGCCCCACACATTTTATGCTGAGAGCTCAGAAGAGAAACCCAGATCCATATGACACAGGAGAAGCAGAGCAAGCCCTACAGAGGAAACAGCGGCAAACCATAGTC